GATTGCGGTCTCTGCACTTGCTGTACTACCAACTGCAAATTTCACCGAACCCACCTGCATCCTGGGGTGATCCTCCCTGCACCCCCTAGCCAGCTCTGAGTTACCCAGCCCGCTCAGGTGAGGACTGCAGGGGCACAGCAGGGCAGCAAGGGTTCACTGCATTTTTGGAGAGCTGCTGTAGAGCACCCAACAGTGCTGGGCTCCCTCTCCCAGGGCAGACAGGCACAGGACACTTCAGATAAGGCATGTTCCTTCCCTGTGAGTGGTTTTGAGACCGTATGGCAGGAAGGTACTTGTCTCCAAAACTACATCAAAGGATCCTCAGGCATTTGCAGCCACTAAGAATCACACACTGAACTTGCCAGCATTAATTTCTACATGTTGACCAGCAACAGCAATAAATTTTTCCTTCCCAAATTGTTCCTGTCCCTTGGAAAGGGTGAACAAGGAGGGTCCTTGTTAACACTGTACTCATGTGACCTGCTGACAGCACCTGTAAACCTGAAGCCACCGGTATGCAGCACATCGAGACTTTGTTTTAGGAATGAGAGAACAGCACCGTGCTCACTGATTTGCATTAAATATTCCCTGCAACAAGTCAGATAGATTAGTTTATTCACAGAGATGAGATTTTCTTGGATTTACCACATTTAACTTCCATCAAGGGAAGTAACACATGAACTACCTCAACAGAAGGTAAATTTCCTCTGCTTCCAGTTGTCTCATGTGAGACAAACTATATGCATCACTAAAAGCCAAATAGAATAATATTCAAAATAGACTTTTTATGTGCTCCTACTCTCATGCTCTTGTTTCAGCACTGTTAAGAACATTATACAACACTCTTATTTAAAAGCCAGGTTGATCTTTCCAACCTTAAAGCCCATCTATTCAACAAGTCAAGTTATTTTAAGTAACTTCAGCTCAGAAGCACACGAGTAATACTTTCACAGACCTAATACAGACTTCTTTTTTCTTTCAATAGTAACTTTAGCTTCTAGACTGCAGAGTCTCCAATGCCCATTCCCACTGAGGCTGGTTGCCTTTCCCTCTGCATCTGGCAGTAAGCACCACAGCATTTTACATGCTCTCAGTAGACTGAGAGGCCAGGTCTTCCCTTACAGTGTTTGTTTTGCCAGTGAAGCCCTTAGCTCTGTTGTCTTCCTCATTCCCAGCACAGTGTACACATCCCACAACCTGCTGTAACACCACAGGAGCACTCAACCATCCCGGTCCCACCGGAGAGGCAGGCTCAGCCCTCAGTCATTTATCTTCTAGGGCAATACCCTGATAAGGCAAGTATGCAGCAAGCCAGGTGGGAAAGGAAGGAAATTACCTACATATTTACACAGATGGAAGCAGATATCCCAACTCATTTTGGAGTTGTCATTCTGGAGAGTGCACAAGCCTGGAGTGGGGCAAACAAGTACCAGAAGGAACTGACTGCTATTTCCAACAGACAAAGCACATCCCCTTCCTTTGCTGCTGGACACATTTCTCAGAGACTGCTGAAGTTATGCAAATCTGATACAAGCCCAGAGGTTAGAAGTGCTCAACAGTAGCACCAGGCTCTATAAATAAAATAGCCAGCAAGCCCTAACTCTCATTACAACACAGTCTATGATTAAATTTGCATAAAGGCAACAGCTTTTGGAGACAAAAATCTAAATAGTAGGTCTAGCAGCCAGATGCTAAAATGAATCAGCAGCAAGACACTCACACCTGTAATAGAGCTGACTACATCTACTTTTCATCACCAAAAAAGACTACCTAAGAAAGGTCAACAAATGCTCTTGAAGATCTGACTGTTGAAAGATTTAAGCCCTTGAACTCATTAGCATTATGCCTCAGAATATCTGAATAAAATAATCTCTTGCTTTCTACCTGAACAATTATTTAGTCTGGGGGTATCATCTTGTCTAAAAGGATTTGTAAAGGAGGCTCCTTTTAGAGAAGTTCTTACCATTTAATCTAGTTACCTTCTGTGTAACTGAGAATGACCCTGAACAGGGCAGGGGAGGAGGCTGTGAGTGCAATCAAGCCTCTTGGCATCACCTTGGCCTTTGCTGCTGCTTCTTTTGCTGCTTTGTGTTAGCCTTCTATGCTTGCAGAAATTAACCTGAGATGGAGCTTTAAAAAATACTAGGTACAAGTAACTCTGAGTTTCATAAATGTAAAACTTCATCCCAAGGGACACATTCGTTCACTTAGATAGGACCAGTTAGATGCACTAAGTGACTAGGGAGCCTTCTGCTCTTTAGCATATTATTTCACTGTCAACTCAACTGATTCACTCTGTTAATTTTTATCCTAAATGTGTCCAAGTACATTTGAAACATTTTGGTTTTTACTCTGGGCACATGTAGTATTTCACAGACAATTAAAAATTTATACAGCAACTAAACTCTATTCCAAAGAGTGAGGTTCAAATTTCTTACTGATGAATGAATTTCAGAGAATGTTCAGGTCGGTGCAGTACAGCAGAGCCAGTGCTGCGCTCCCGAGCAGCTCCCGGCTCCATCACGGCAAGGGAACAGAGCAGAGATTCTTCCCAGCGCCGGGAGAGACCCGATGAGTCACGGGAGCCAGCTCTGGCAAGAGACCGGCTGCAGGCACAAACAAGTAGCTCAGATTTCATCAAATGAAATGCAACAGAGAGCCAAAAGACTTTCCAATATTTACTACAATAATTTGCAGTTGGAGGGGAAAGGGGGGACATCAACACCCTTAACTCTTTTCTGACTGTATCTGCAAACAGAACCAGGCATGCTTCTCTCAGTTCAGAGCTTACAGGAAAATACAAAAATCACCATACAATCCATAATCTGCTTCCACAGAAACATTAACCAGCAACTACGACAACCACAGTTTCATCTGCATTAAGAGATTAGCTAAAGCGTGTCCCCTGGGGGAAAAGCCTCACATAAATACAAGGTTTCTGAATGTGATTTTCATAATCTGCCTGTTAGAGACAGGACTTTAAAAGCCCCACTGCACACTCAGCACTCATTAATCCACTCTCCCATTTTGTTAAACTTTGTTTCAACTGAGTAGCAGTGCTTGACCCTCAGATTACAGCTACAGCAAATTCAGCTGCATCAAATCTGAACGGAGGGCAGCTGAAACTATCTTAAATGGCAGTTTAGGTGCAAAAGCTAAAATTAGTAGTGCTCAATTAAAATCTTCAAAAGAAAGCCTTTTCCCTTTCCTTTAACATTTCCAGCAAATGAACTATGAAGTACTGGTAAACAGTGTTCAAAATGTGAACTCAGCTAAAGCAAACACATACTTATTTTTCCAATACAGAATCTTCAACAAAGCAGAAACTGACTGCAGAGCCTTGCAAGAGACATTCCCCCTATCGCTTTTATTTAATTGAATTTGGAGGAAAAAAAAAAAAAAAAAAAAAAGGTTAAAACCACCAGAAACAAAAAAGTACATCAAATACAAAGACTGCTCACACATAAACCCTATTTTATGATCTGGAGAGTGCAGAAGTTTTGGGAAAAGTACCACATTCCTCTCCTGTTCGATACCCCAAGAAGTCTTGTTCCCAGGGGTGGTCTGACAGGACCAAGAACAGAGACCTGTAGCACTGGAGCTGGGCCACTCCAAATGCAGGAGCCCCCAGCCTCTTCCAGTGACTGGAACTGTCAGTTCCAGCAACCAATACCAATCCAACAAAACCCAAACTTTGCAACATGCTTGGCCATACTTCTTTTAAACAATTCCTGAAGTGCCCAAGTGGCTTCTAAATCCATAACCACACTTATTTCAAAATTAGTCTCAAAACTCCTTCAGTAGGGTTATGCTCCCAGTTTATTGGTATCTCCTGACAGTGAATAAACCTGCTGCACTAAACTACATGTCAATATAAAAACCAGCTGCCCTGTTTTCTCTCACCTTTGAAGGCCCACAGTTAAAGAAAATTAAACACAGGCTTGAAGCTACACCATGTATTTGTAGATAAAATAACTTGACAGGATAAGATTACAAAGTATAAAATGAGCCCTTTCAGAAAGTTTTAACTACAAGAGAAGTCAATGTTCAGTCCATTTTGTAAAGTTTTAAACAAATATCACTGAGGAATATTTCCATAAAACACATTTTTTAATGCTTTTTTAAAAAGCTTGGACCATATACAACAATTTCAGATGAAAAATTCCACACGCACGCATTGGTTTGGTTACAGCTTCAGGGGTCAGTGCAGCACAGTGCAAGTTTCATTCACAGATAAAAAGATATATGAAGTAGGTACAAGTACATTCTCAAAATACAGGATGCGATCTAAATCTCAGGAACCCTTTTCCCACCACCAAAAGGTGATGAAAAGCAAAACATATGAAAATCAAGGGGAAAGTACACAAGGAGATGGACTCTTTAATAAGACAAGTTAATATTTGACAGCTTAAGAAAGAGGAAACAATTGGATAAGGAAGAAAATGATTGTTAGTCATTGGAAGGTATGTACGAGGGAGGTTTGTACTTTGAATCTATAGAAAAACTGAAGCTGGCAAGTCTCCACTCCTAAAATAGAAATACCAAAAGTTACAAAAAGTAAGCACTAATTAACCCAAAGTGCCTTCTCAGAACAGCCCATTCTCCCTCACCTTTCAAGGAAAAAGTATATGCAACTCTTTATTTCCACTAGTCTTTCAAGATATACAATCTGGCAATTTTACAGAATCTTCCTGGTCCCAAGTCTGTATCAGTGTTTTTCCCCTTTGTGTATTTATTTCCAAGTAGAACAAATACTCCTCAGTGCTTCTAAAGAAAGCCTTATTTTGAGCCTCATGTCTAAGCTAAAAATACTGATGCAATTTTCACCTGAAGCAATGTCTTGCAAAGTATGAATGTAGAGTGCCTCTCTATAGATGCTAAGTGCATCTTTAGCTACCAGAAATCTCATGGAGGGATACAGCTCTGAAGTACTCTGCTAAATTTTATAAGAAATATGACTGCCACTTTCAGCATACAGAATGGGAGACTAGTGCAACATGCAGCATTGATTGTTTATTCAATAAATACTTAACCCAATTATTGCCAACCAAGGCAAACAGTGCAGAAATTGTCATTTATAGATACAAAAGTTTAACAATTTTTTGTATAAAGTCAGTTGCTACTATATCCATACAAGTACTTCAAAGAGGTTTTTCTGCTTCAAAATTGAGGTTATCATTATAAAAATACAGAAACATATAGCTGGGGGTTTAACATGTCTTTGCAAGTGTAAATTCTACAGTTATATGGGAACATGACACTTCTATGTTCAAGAAATTAAAGTGAACACTGTGATAGAGACATTTTCTGCACTGACAATTTCATGATAGTCCTTAAATATATCTTTCTTGGTCCTGGGTATACATTTAAAATGAACTTGCATCACATGTTTATCCTGAGGTCAGCTGTGTAAAAAGGAAAGCCAGTTTTACAAAGATACTTGCAGGCTTCTTGTTCAAAATATGAGGTTATTTTTATACAAGCCAATAAAACTCCTGGGGGGAAGGAAAAAACCCAGCACTCTCACCAGTGTTTTAAGAAAAAAACTTGTGACATCTTTGGGAATTACTTCCAAAAATATGTAGGCTAGCACACCCAAATGCTGTATCACCCAACTAAAATTTCAATATGCATTTGCCAAATTTGAAACTTAGAAACCGTTCTGAAAATAAAGTATATAAATCCCCATGAAGAATCTCCTTAACTTTCTCATCTCAAGATCCCAACCTACAACACAACTTCTGCAAGGAGGAAGCTGCTGAAGCCTGTGGGAATCTGCAGAGTCTTCAGGCCTGCCTGCACAGGTGAGGACGTAACATTTGGGTGTCCATCACCCAGCATGGGGTGCAGTTATGATCTTGTCAAAGCTCCACTTTGAACACAGCAGTTATTTTCAATAGCACCAACAATCTCTCAGATACCAGCATTTAGGCAAATACAGACAAAAAACAGGTTTGTTTCTTCCTGAATCAGCACAACTGGTACAAGGCACTGCTTGGCATAGGAAGTCATAAGTAACAGCAAAACAAGAGTTCCCAAGTTTTGTGACATTTAGGTTTGTGCATTGGATGACCTTGTAATTAATTATATACCATGGCTAGAAAAATAAGACAGTCTACATGATTAACAAAAACATCACCATCCCGTGCATGCTCACAGTTTTCCTCCCTGGTTCTAAAAAAACCCCACATAACATACCAATGTGAAACATTACAAAGTATGGATTGTTAAATTAAGAAAGTACATTTCATTCTCCAATCTTCCATGAAAGTCTAACCTAGACACAACTCAAGTAAATGAAGTTGGAAAATATTCTAATAACATTTGCACCAGTCTATCCCTGCAGAGGAGAAAAAAACCCAACTATTGTCTAGAGAATTCATAGATTGAGGCACATTGCAGTTGAAGATATTCAGGCATATTTCATGGCTAGAACAGGATTTCTCTGAGGAACCTCACTACAGACTTCCCCAAAAGCAGCTCCATATGGTTTGAAACACAGCTTGCAACACATGGAAAAACATTTGGTCCTTAATCGCTACTGTCTTCATCATCATCATCATCAGATACATCATTTAAAGATGACTTAGGCGACTGGCTGTAGGAGTCTGACCGAGTGGACTGACAAGCAGCCATCTCCCCCGTGGAAAGAAGATCGTAGCAGAAGTCGCAGATTCTCACCGGCTTGGAGGACTGGCTGGGGAGCAGGAACCTCTTTTCCGAGCAGGGCCCGCACACGACGAAGCCGCACTTGCGGCAGTGGTGACGGCGATTGACGGGCGTGAACTTGGCCTTCTGACAGCGCATGCACACCGTGGCTTCCGAGTCCGGTACCCACACAGCTGCGTGTTCATTGCTAGGGGTCTTCCCACTTTTGGAAAGCAAATCAGAAACACACTTATTTATGTGGTTCATCCACTCTGACTTCTCTGTAGCAGTGGCAGCATAAACCGCAAAAGACTTTGTTGGTGTCTTGATAAGCCACCCATTCCGTAAGTCCCCCTCATCCTGGATGGAATCAATAGTGACGTTTTCCAGTGGGATTATGTGCTGTTTGTTGTATTTCTTCTTCTGGATGACGATGTTACCATAAACAAGAATGTCATTGAACAGGAAAAACTGCCTTGCTTTGGGCTTCTTCCTACACAGTTTTGTTAGGACTCCTTCTCCAATCAGAACACGGCCAGGAATAGTCAGGGGTTGACCAGCTGCTCCAAAGCAGTTTTCCACTATACTTATTCTTCTAGTATTTGCCTCGCTGTTTGCCAAGCGATCCACCATCTTTCACAAGTATCCTAAAATCAGAAAAAAGGTTTTGTTATTAGAAGAGGACTGAATTCAACAGCAAGCAACCTTCCCCAAGGAAGGTACCAACCCCGCATTTCTTAAAATATCTAACAGGACCTGCTGGCTGAGAGGCATTGACTTGGGCTAGATTTAAATAAGTATTAACACCTAAGAATTTTTAGCAACAGATTAGTCTTTTTTCCAAAAGCAAAAATGTTCTATGCTGCTGACAGCTATCTTTATCACACAGACAGCACCTACAGCACTGCATTTGGGAGCATCCCGCAACAAACTAGCTCCTCTCTAGTAAGACTACTGCATCCTGGTTTAATGCTCATATTTCTCTGTATATCCTCCTGCACCTACTCCAGATAGCAACAGGAAGTATCATCCATCATTTCAAATTCTAATGCTAAAAAAACATCAAGTTAACTGAGCAGCCTGGAGACCCACATTAGTTTTAACACAACAAACAAATTATATAATTGCTGTTCACATAGGAAACCACACTTCCCAAGCTAGCTCACTACTGCTCATTTTTTTTCAGTATGTAAACCTCAAATCATGGGCCAAAACCATGAATCTACCTGCTGGAAACATTTTGTACAGGCCACAGCTTGCACCCCCCACTACATCTGCTTTCATGGCAAACTCTTGAGCCAGAAACAGGGAGTGAGTCATGGCTGGTGGCTCATCACCTGCTTGCTGCTGCCTTCATTTTGCAGGAGTCCCACAGTTCCTCCCTCCTCATCTACATGAACCACATCTGCATCCATCACATTCAGGCAACCTACACAGAGGATAAGCCACACAGCTCACAATTGCTCCTGACAAAGACTAAGTGACCTGCACCAGCTCAAAGTTTAAAAAAGATTACTTTTTATTTCAGGAAGTGCTAATGAACTGTATGCTCCAATTACAGATTAAAGCCCCATCTTGCTGTTCCTCAAGTAGCAAATAAGATTTTTTTTCTTGCGTGAGATAGCTAAGGCACCCAACAGGGAACTAAAATTAAGAAGTCACTATAGTGATTCATACCTTGGCAAACCACTCTTTAGCCTCTTTTGCCCCAGAATTTCCCAGGCAGAACTCTGGCAAAGGCAAATCCTGCCAGCCCAATCCAGATCTGCTCCCTTCAAACTCCTTGTGAGTACAGCCATGAAGCTGTGCTTGATGGAGCAGTGAGGCATCTGGCAGAGGCAAGTACTACAGACAGACTTTCTCAGCACGCCGAAGACGCCCCGCCATGCCTCGCACAGGGCTGATGCTCACACCACCCCTTGCTACAGCCACGGCTTTGAACGGTGAAGAAGAGTAGAACAGCAAATACTCCAGTGCCTTCTACCTGTGCTTCACAACACATCCCAGGCTGGGAAATCCTCTACATCACCTACTTCTTTAACCTGCACTGCCTGCCATCAATACAGCAGCAGCCTACAACTGAGAGGAAACTGGGCTGAAACAAGGCTCAGACTTGATGTTACTCAGACTTGATGTTACTCAGACTCCATTGCTCTGCTACAACCTGATCCAGGCAATCTTCCTCCTCTGAATCAAAGCACAGATACTTCCTTAGAAAACAGGGATGAAACATCTCACCAGGCCTCAACTAAATAAATATGTTACCTGTGATCACATATATTTTATTGTAAGTTACTGCTTTGAAAGTGTAATTAGTTTCACACTAAAGGAGTTTGACAAGTGAGCTTGCACAGATAGAACTACCTTTTTTAAGGTCTGCACACATTATCTTGTATTTAAGTCTGACACTCAAGACAGAAGAACCTCTAAAAGTTGTTTCTCAGCGCTGTTTTTGAATTTTCTTTACACGCCTCACAGCATTAGTTACAATACATGAGTATTGCATTAACTGCTTTTATGGTTAGGAGAATTATAAAGCCACCAAATACAAAACAATTTTGATCAGCAGAAGTTGAAGACAAAATACAAACTGCCAAGTAAAAAGTAATAAGAAGGGAATGGAAAAGAAACTAGCAGCTTTTTTATGTGCACTTGCTGCTGTCCTAGGCTCCAAAATGAAATTCAGGTGCCTGAATGCTAAAGCCTGGGATCTGGAATGACAGTTAATTGCCATTAACTGCCAAATAACCATTCCCATTTAACAACATAACAGAAATTCACAGCCTTTGCAAGCATCAAAACTGAACCGACAGCCCTTCAAATTTAAAAAGCAAGGCCTCAGTCACAGGGTCAGTCTGAAGTTATTTAGTAATCCCATGCTCTCCATGAAGTGGGAAAGGACATCAGTCATCAGAACGCAAAGCGAACAGCCCAGAAAACACATTTTTCTGCAGGTACAAATCAATATGCACTTATGTACTTACACATTTACACAAATTATCTGCAAGTTACATCAAGTTAAATGTTTTTGGTTAGTCCACAGGGGGAACACTACTCCCACCCCCACAAACACAACCATATTGAAGGGTTTCAGTGGAGCAAGCTCTCGGTGTGAAGTCACAGCCACCTGTAGGAAGCAGTCGCTGCTCCACAGCTCCAACTCAGCCTCTGCACTCCCGCCAATAAACAGCAAACTCAGTTCAAGGCCACTGCGAAAGCTTTCAAAATACAAGTCACTGGGAGAAGAAAACAAGGGCAGAAAAAACCTAAAGGTTTTAATTAACTGTTCCCTAGGACAATTGCAGAGAAAACAACTCCAGCCAGGATCATTTAATAATCACCATGGCTTGAAATCAAGAGACACGGCTCCAGAACTTTTGCCTGAGACTATTTTGAGCTTGTTGTGAAAATAACCACTAACTGGACATTAAACAAGAATCCTGGGAAAGTTAAAGACTATTACAAAAGACAAGATAAATTGCATTTCTTCTAGATTGAAACTTTTTTCTGTGATGGATAAACATTCCCACTTGCCAGCCTCAAGGCCATAAATGCCAGAGACTACTGCTGCCAATTCCACCTTTCCAAGGCATTAATTGTATCTTCCCACACTAACAGATTGGACTTTTTAGAATAAGCATTCAGATATTTTTCTCTTGAGTTTTTCAAAAACTAGAAATGAAAAATCCATCTGAAATCCTATGCACACTAATGCTCATACACCTTCACTAGCCTTTTCTAAGAAAGGAAGTAAGTTCAGAAATGGAAGGGAAACTACCCAAAATACATCCTGATTACAAATAATCATGAAATGTGACAAAAACAAATACAAGAGAAGACATCCCTAACAGACAGGAGCTGAAGTTACAAGAAGTTCACCTCTTCCTCTCATGAGCACACTGACCAAGGAGATGTAAATTAAATATTATCTGGACACACAAAGGAGTCTTTAACCCCAAGATGTCACAGTCCAAAAGCAAAGTTATCAATCAGCAGTCTTTAAAAATTACAATCTTGTCTTAAAGCATATTCAGATCTATGGTAAGAGACAGCAGATCATCATGCTCTGGAACTGGGTGGCAATATCCTCCTCTCTTCCAGCTAAACTTTATTCTGAAGTTTCTACTGTTGGCCACCACGAGAAGCAGATACTGGATTACTGCCCTGAAGACGAAGGATGTCAAGACCTGACCAAACAAAGTGATTCCTGATTGATGGCAAATTGCTGAAAACATACCCAAAACCTTCCTCAAGCAAGTGAGGAATAAACCAGAACTACAGGCTTCAAAATAAAAGGTTAGACAGCTCCACTTAAGGGGAGAGTGTCTTACACATAGTCTCAGTTTAGGGATGCTATGAAATCTATCATATGTGACTAATTTCACACTTCTGGCACACAGACTCCTAAACTCCTAAAAGTCCTGAGGCTTTACGCAAGGGGGACTCCATTTGTGATGGACTGCTGGTCCTCACAGACATCAGATTCATGTGCTGTGTCCAGACTGCAGCACAATACTAGCAGCTAGTCAAAACATTACAAAACCTGCCCCCAAACAAACCAAAAGAACACAAACAGATCACTTTGTAAGAAAAGTAGCTACAAAGAGCTACTTCACAAGCAGGGTTTAGCAGCCTTTCCAAATTAATAAATCTCAACTCTCAAAATGCTGCAATACCTTCAGTTTGTCCATCTCACACACACACTCTTAGTACCTTTCATGATTAAAATGCTGGGCAAAGGCTTTCATTTCCATGGCATAATATGCTGTTTAAAGGTGACAAAATATTTCATGACACAAAGCCCCAACTATTCTACAATATGAAGAACTGTTTATGACACTTATTTCCACTTTTATTCACAAGAAGCTTCTAGAGAAAGAACAATTCTGTTATCAAGATATCAAGATCTTCTTGCTCCCCTATTTCAATCTAGTTTTACACTTGTATCCTGTTGGTGAGAACAACCACCTTCAATGTGATCAAGCAATAGACATCAGTAAAATTTCTGAAGAACTAACAAGTTATCCACTTACCTAAAAAACAATCCGTGTTGAGGAAATCACACATTCACTACAATTATTAACATTCCAAACTACTGCAGCAGGAAATTAATTCTATTAGGGTTGCTGTGCACTGACAAGTCACTTTCCACATAATTTTTTCTTTCTGCCACTGTATCCTGGAGACCAAACCAATGACGTCCCAGAACTCAATGCTTCTACAGGTCTCATTTAAAATAGAATGTTTATTTCATATGCTAGCTCTGCTTGTGATAGTGGCCAGACTAAACTGCACAGAATTGCTGCAGCTGAAGATAGACATAAGGAGTCAACCAAAAAGAATGCAACCCTGACTGACACAGTCACACCCAATTCACTACCAGTACATTAGCACTGCAGCAGATAGCATTAGCACCATAAGCAGAACCACAAACAACAAAGGTGCTGGAGGGGAGAAATGAGATGGAAAAGCTGTTGTGGCACAGTGAGGCACACTGCATACAGCTCAGCACAAAAACATTTCCTCACCCCAGCTCAGTGTATACTACTATCGCCTGCACTCCCTTCAGGCTGTAGGACAGGCACAGAGGGTGTGCAGGAGAGACACAACCCAAATTCCCAAGTTTCTTCAGCAAGACAGCAGAACT